GAATTTTCTATTTATTAACCAATTTGCTGTTTTAGGTGTAAAATATCAATAAAGGCTCAATATTTTTCCTCACTGAGTAAATTATAGCCTCCAGTTGTTACTATGATTCATCACCATCATTTGCAACTCCAGTCATGGCTCCAGTCATAGTTTCAGTGTCATTAATTACGCTCTTTGTTGTCAGTCGGCTTGCTTCGCCCGCTGAATCTCTCATGTAACGGAAAATAGCATCCCACTATATGACATGATTATCTTACTTCTGCTAGAAGGCACGGTATAATGGAAAACCTGATATATTCTGAGACACTCACACAGGCAGGTGGGTTTCGGCGCGTCCCACTTGCCCAGCTTAGTGCAATGGCTGATGTTTCTGCCCTCCAGGATGAAGCCGGCGTGGCAGCTGTAATGGAGCACGGTTCCTTCCACGGGGGGCCCGGGAGGCTTCGCCGTCACCCGGCCGTTCTCCAGAGACGTCCACACCCGCGGGCACAGCAGCACTGGAAACAAGAAGAGGGAGTTATGGAAAGGTAAATCCATAAATACACAAAGAAGGAGTTGCACAAATGTTGCTCAAAGGGAGATGAATTCATTGCACGACCGGGTGCCTCCAAGTCCAGTTTTAACCCTCAGCTCTATTTCTCTGTCTACCAGCTCGGCCTTCTAAGCTGATTTACGCTGAGCTTTGTTCACTGCTCAGTTCCTCTCCTTGTTTACTAGGGTTGCTGTTCAGTGCTGAGGTTTATCAGTAAAAAGCCTGAAAACAGGATTTAAAAAAGCAGGAAGAGTGAAAAACAGTAGTAATGCTGTGAGTCACGAAACCCGACGTGTTGAACGACACTCAGAGGATAATTATGGTTTATTTAAACCTGGTGGATCCACCATGGGAAGCAAAGAAATCAGTGAATTTCCACCTCAGAATCACGTGATCTTTTTGGACAATTACTTTCATACATATATAACGAAGCTTTCCTTCATGCTATGAATATTTCTGCCTCTTTCAGATTATAGAGGTGGGTTGAAATTTGGCACTTCTAAATGTTTTTTTGGGGGGTTTTTGTGCTAATTTTAAGCCTTCATAAATTAATAAATTCAAGAGACAGTCACGTTAAATTATTGGGGCATGAAATCACAATAATGGGATTTCTAACAGTTTTTAAAACATCGCTGCAAGAATTGAACGTCTATGGCACAGATGAACAGAAACAAGCTTTGGTACCTGTTCGCATTGTTTGAGCACTGTTTTTAAATGATAGTTGATTCAAATGTAGTTCATTTATATTTTTGTTTATTTACTGTAAATACTGACGGTGATTATAATGTGTTACCAAGCTTGAAAGCCATCTCCACTCAGGATAACGTACACATAAAAAAACTGCTTCATTCGAGTCGATTAAAGGAGCAAAAAGAGCACGTCGACCTTCATTCAGTAAAGAGTCGCCCTGATGCTGCTATGATTAAAATAGATGGAGGCTTGTTGTGCTTCATTTCTGTGGCGCTGCAGTTCAGAATTTTTAGATCGGGTTCAATAACATCGGCGTCACTGACTCACAGCTATAAAGCTGTTAGTCACTCTCGTATTTACAGTTTTGATTAGGCACGAGTAAAAAAAAAAAAAAAAGCCAGTTTTCCTTCAACTTTTCACATATCTGGTAATCAACACATGTTGACAAGTCAAGATAGGGCGTTGTTGTATTTCACAAATCTCCCTGTGTATGTCTCCAATCAGGATTTTGCTCAGTACACCACTGTAGTGGATTTAAATCAAACGTGCCGACTAGGGCTGCCACGATTA